AACTTTGCCTGGAAGAGGTTGTCAAGTTTGTCATTGCTGTGTTTTCCGTTAAACCTAGTATCTAAAGGCCAACTAAGTGCTCTTCCCTCTTCATCTAACCCTTAGCAATTTTCCTCCCCATTCATAATAGTCCCTAAATGTCTTCTGCTCAGATTTACACTTTCTTTGAAATCTTTCTAGTGAACATCAATTTCATGTAAGAAATAGGCTTCTAGGTGATTTATTTTCATTTATTTTACTTTTATAATGATTAATTCAAAGCAATTTGGGGGCAGTTGTCAGTATTATCATCACAAATCACAAATCAATCACAAATCATCCTGTTAATCGTTGATTGCCTCGAGAAGGCCCTAGTAAAGTCTCCTTCATCCTAGCCTTGAGATTATATTCAAGGCTCTTTAGGAGAATGAGACCCATCATTGTTACTGGTATTTGGCATATTGGGTACGACACAGGGAGTTTTCCAGACTCTGCCCTGTGGGCAGGTTACATTCGGTAGCCTGCCAGTTTGTCCAAAGTAGGAATGAGATAATAAGATGTCATAATAGGATGTCGCGCGACCGCGAATGCGGCCATGCGGTTCCAGGAGCTGGTGTTTATAGTCTCTGAGTCTTGGCCGTTGATGGGATTACACAGCGCCAGGGGGCCAGTTGGTGGGTGTGACCCCCGCCTACTGGAATTTGGAGGATCTGGGTGGAGGATGCTCGACTCCAATCCGAGTAGGCTTGGAGGTCTCGGCCCCGGAACCCGCGTGGATTTGTCCCTCTGCCAGTACCTTCATAGCTCCCTTAGTCCCTTTGATAGCTCAGCTGGTAGAGTGGAGGACGTTATCATCACAGATATGTTTTATTCCATGTAGGAGTGCCTCTCACTTACAAATGTTTTCAGGGACTAATAGCACTGTAGTAGGGCATTTACCTTGCACGCGGCCAACCCAACTGACCTGGTTCAATTCCTCTGCCCCTCTTGGAGAGCCTGGCAAGCTATCGAGAGTATCTCGCCTGCACGGCAAAGCCAGGAAAGCTATTTGACATGCCAAACATAGTAACAACAAGTTCACAATGCAGACGTTGCTGGGCCCGCTCTAGCAAATTAATGAACAACAGGAGGACAGTGACAGTGACAGTGACATTGAATGAGATATTAGAGGATAAGGCACTTAGTTGCCTTGAATGCAGCCCACTCTGGTTCAATCCCTGAAATCCCATATGCCCCTCTCTACACCTCAGCACAAGAAATGTCCCCTGAGCATAGTCAGGAAAAGCTTTTGGGCACCACCAGGTGGGAGCCAAAGTGCCCCCGCTTCACATTTTCAGGATACCTAATCCACAGTCCCATCCTCACTTGTGCCAAAATTAGTACACAGAATTCTTTTTTTTTATCCCACACCCTCCCCCTACCTATTGTGCAGATGATTTCCACATTACTCTCTCTCTACTTTGGTCACATTCAATATTTTGACACCAGACCCACCATTATTATTTGGGATTTTACCCCAACACTCAGATCTGCCGAAAAGGCAACAGCAGACAATTTAGTTTTCAATTGTTTTGTTTTGTTTTCTTTTTTTGACAATTTGTTTTCTATTGCTGGTTTAAGAATAACATATGATGTTGCATGGCTGCAGTAGTGGCCGCGCGATTTTGAAATTCCAAAATTTTAACACTTAAGTCTGGAGGGATTTCTGCTAAAACCTGCTGGGTTCCGAGATTTGTTCCTGATTCTCTGGGATCATGGCCATTAAGCAGCTGAATCAGGAGCCAGAAAGGCCATTCATGGGCGGTGACTCGGGGTCTCACTGGGATGGGGAGGAAAGGGCCGGCTTTACCCCCATCCTGTGAGGCCCCGCGTGTCTTGTCACTGAGGGCCCATACCTGATTATCCAGTGGCCTCTGGAGGATGGCGACCACCAAGGCCCCTAGGGGGAGCAGGCGGAGGGACAGCACCCTTTCCCCCTTGGGGTAGCCTGGCGACAGTAACCCACTGCGGGGTCCAGTCGCATTTCTGCCAAAAGCCATTGGGTTCCGAGATTTGTTTCTGAGTCTCTGGGATCATGGCCTTTAAGCAGCTTAATCAAAAGCCAGAGAGGCCGTTTGTGGGCGGCAACTCGGGGTCTTGTTGGGACAGGGAGGAAATGGCTGGCTCCACTCCCAGCATGTGAGGCCCCGCGGGTCTCGTCACTGTGGGCCCAAACCTGACTGTCTAATGGCATTTAGCAGATGGTGGCCACCAAGCCTCTAAGGGGGAGCAGCGGAAGGACAGCACCCTTTTCCCCCTGGGGTGGCCCTTCGACAGTAACCTACTGTGGGGTTCAGACACATTTCTGCCAAATGTTGCTGGGTTTCGAGGTTTGTTTCTGAGACTCTGGGATCATAGCTGTTAAGCAGCTTGATCAGGAGCCATAGAGGCTGTTCGTAGGCGGCGACTCCGGGTCTCATTGGGGTGAGCAGGAAAGACACAGATAGAATTATTTAAAATATTGTTTTCATTGTGTTTGTCATATGCAGAAATTGAAGCAGTCAAGGTTTTTAGTGGCTTGATGACATGATTTTCCAGCACTTGATCCAAGCTTCTTTTATAATAATTTCTGTGAAGTCATTGGGCTTGGAAATAACTACTTGCCAAAACTGAGTTCCTCTGGTGAACCACTCAACACAGCTTTAGTTTTACAAAGAAAACCATTCTTTTTGGGCTGTTAATCTTGGCTTAAAACACCACATATTATCTTTCCCACTTGAACAGTTCAGCTCCTGTTCTCTCATAGTTTGGAACCATTAGATTTACTGCTGGAATATAAATGTAACCTAGCTGGTGACTCTTTGAAAACAGATTTTTCAAATATAGATATATGGCCCCTCTGCTCATGGGAACATTTAGGCGTTCTCTAAAATGTGAGAACTTTCCAACGTGAAAAGCTGCCTTATATACGAAAGCTTTGGCCTTTCAGTACATGGGGTTGTTTCATTGGATTTTAGCTCTGAAGCACTAAGTAGTTACTATTTACTGGGTTTCAGTACTTGACAAGAAATCAAACTATTCAAATAATTACTGCTTTCTGTGGAATTACTCCCAAGTACTTTATTCTAGTTTTATTTGCTCTTTTAATCTTATCTAAGACAGCACTTTTCAAAAGCTATTAACAAAAGGTCATAACATGAGATTTTGATTAATTAAAAATTCAGGTATTCCGTGGATTTTTCTACAGAGTACAAAATAACTTCTCTACTAATTCATTTTCTGGCTAAAATTGGAACTCATTCTTGATGTCAGGACTGAGCAGAGATGTGGTCACAAATGGGGACTTACTCTCTGGAAACTATCACTATCACCCTGTTGTTCATCGATTTGCTCGAGCGGGCACCAGTAATGTCTCTATTCAACCTTGTCATGTACTAGTATAGTCTGATGGCATATTGGGGGCTCTTTCAGGGTCAGGGGAATGAGGAAACTAAAGAAATAAAAAAATCAAGACAAAGCAGTGTATTGACAGAGCATAGACCTGTTCTAATGAAACAAACTACTAACAAGGCATATGGTCATAATGCCACAACAAATTTTAATTCCTTTTCTGTTTCATGTATACAAAACAGTCACTGAAGGCAAAGGCCCTTGTTAAGTCCTAGTAAACTTATGTCTCTATGTTTTCCAAATTCAAAGAAAGTGGGTCATGGATAATTACCAGGCAGGATATATTTGTAAAGGTGTTTTCCTTCTGATAATTCTATATAAAGATGAAACTATTTTAAGTTAAATATTTAAAACAGCCAGCAAATGACACTTTTCATAAGATAAAGGCACTTAAAGCATTTCTAAAATGATAGAAAATTTGTGAAAATGATGCAATTTTAATTAGAAATATATATATATATATATATACTTTTGGAAAATTTGATACCCAACATACCATAGACCTGCCGATTTACAGTATTTTAATTTTAGCAGATAAAATGTGTCACCTCAAAATCTGAGGGTTTCTATGATACAAGAAAGACTGTTTTTGTGACAAAAACTTTGTATTTAGACTTAATCAACACAGAAAAGTTTGCTCAATTATAAATGGCTCTACTTATATCTTCAAAAAATTTTTGTACAATAAAACCAGTGAATTTTTTCTTAAGACTTGTTCAAGAAGACTCACCATTTGTATACACATAAAGCTAATAGGAATATTTGCTTTTATCGTTTTAAATATCTTTACATATATACATGCACACTGCAAATTTAGAGTGCCTAATTTAAAAACAGGAATAATGCAGAGAAGCATGCTTAACTTACAACTTCCTAAGATGAAAACAAGATTGCAAACAAACAGCAAAGTAGAATATCAAACACTCTTACTATTCCTTTTTCTGTGTAGGAAAACCACTAGCATACACTTTATCTCTTTCTGTGCATTTTACTTACTTTGTGGAAGTAAAATTATTTTATTTTTGGTTTGGGGACCCCACACAGATGTGCTCAGAGCTTACTCCTGGCTCTGAACTCAGAGATCAGTCCTGGCAGTCTTGGGGGAACTATATGCCAGGGATTGAACCTGGGTCAACAGTGTGCAAATCCCTACCCACTATATTACTGCTCTGGTTCCAAAATAGTTTTATTTAGACAAAAAAAGAGTGTGAGCATGCGAGAGCTATTCAAGAACGAACCTGGGCTTCTCTGGAGGGTAGGGAGCCAAAGGTAAGTTTCGACAAAAAATAAAAGAAGGGAATTTCACGTTAGGTTGAGATGCAGGTGATGGGAACGGGGAATGTACCTCCTTTCTGTGCATTTAAAAAACTTTAGAAAGAACTCAACATTCTTTCTTATACTGTTCACATAATTCAGCTGTAGAGGAGAGGAAGGATTTTGGGAGGAAAGTTGAAATAAAATATGGCTACAAAAATTTGAATACAAAATAATCATGTTGTAGTAAGCTGTGTTTTCTAATAAACGCTATTTGGAAAAAACGAAGACATAATTTACAGTGATGATCTACAGAGAAGACACAAAATCAAGCCACATTCGAGAAGTCACTTTTATTTTTGTTTTTGTTTTACACAGATAACTTCGTGTCAGCTACAAAAATCAAGAAATAAAGAACCAATTGTGAACTGCAAACTCAAAAACCATTGGCGTGATCAACAGCTTTCCCCCAGAACACTGTTTAAAAAAGTAACTGGAATACCATGAATTCATATTTAAGTAGTAAACATGTCATATACTTAAAAATAATAAATACTGAACAGCAATAGATAAACTAATAGCATGAACAGCATGAAGTATATCTTATTTTTTAAGACAGATGAAAATTCTAGGCACAGTTTTAGGCATTAAAGAGGACACAGAGGCATAGGTTAGTGTGCGCTGCTCTGTACAAAAATACAGTCTGAATAAATTACATTGCTAGCCATACAATTAGACATCACTTACCAATCAGTTCATTGCATGTTTAACAATATACAGGTACATGCTAGTCCATATATATCATTTATATTTCAAACACATAGGTCTCTCTATATTTATGTTTTTATGTATTTATGTACACGCTGAACATACAAAACGCTAAAGAGTTGTGCAAGAAATCCAAATAACTAGCCCTGCTGAGTACTTTATGCTATATGTGTGTATGTGTATCTATCTTACTTGCTCTCTCCCCCTCTCTCTCGCTCTCTCTCCAAGATAAACAATGGGTCTGTAGTTAACAGTTTTGCTTATAGGAAAACATCAAACAAACGGAAAGGTGCCAAGATAAAGTTAAAGTAGGTGAAATATTCACTTGTGTTTTATTCTGATTGACAAAACATTGCTTCATAGGAGTGACATAATTTTTATGTTCTGAACTTGTTAGTAATGAAACTAACTTTGAGATATGGTAGAAATGGGGGAAAATATATAATAAATTTACTTTTCAATAAACTGCAAATATGTGTGCCTTAGCCTTTAACAAATTCTGTCACTTTCCAGCTTGTCATATCCACATAGACTCAAACCATGGTAAGATTCAAGATGTGACCCTCATTTAGTAGCACACTGCATCCTCCACTAGGACTAAGAAAAGTGCCTCAGTGATATCAGCATGAAAGTATGGTTTTCCTATTATTCAGGAACAAAGAGATTCTCTCACAAGAGAGTTTAGGAGCCAAAATCCCTCTCCAACAAATATATTTCTCATGCTACTCTGATAATATGTAATTAACTGTAAGACAGCCGGCCCAAATTTTACTCTTTCTCAAGAAAGCTGCTTCAAGGTTCTACAATACTAATATCTTTCTGAAAAAAATTCAGGGTATGTCATGATTCCATATAGAATCTATACTTTAATAGAGGTCACTCTCTAAGATTCATTTTGTCAATTTGCTGTCATTGTAAAATAAGAATAAACCTGGTTCTTTATATTTACTTCTCAATTCTATAGAAAAGCCACAAGAGTTTTTTCTTTTAAAGTATTTGAGTAATAAAATAGTTTTTATTTGGTTGGTTGTTTTGGCAACAAGTCTTAAGACAAGCTGGAAGCAGAGCTCTGCCTAGGGAGGTAAAACAAATTATTAAAAACTATTGACATGGTCCTGGCTCTTAACAGATTTTCAATGATAGAACACAGGTACACTTCAAATAATTTTTCAACTGCTTCTTTCTGTAAGAGGGCTAAAACCAGGACATACTGTTTTAGTGTCTTTGCTAACAAAAATAATTATTTATAACTTTTATATTAGAACTGTATATTTGATACAAAAATATGTTTTCAATTAAACTATCCAAATTTGTATAATAAACAGGATTTCAACACACCAGTTTGCAGAAGCAAACTTATTCCTTATTGTTGATATTTCCTTCCATTTGAACAGTCAACAAAAATGATTCACAGAACGTAAATCCTTCAGAACTGTGTGCACAAATCAGTTAGCCCATTAGTTAACTTCAGAGGACCAGATGATAATCAGATGAATTCTACTTCTCTACTGAGACATTTAGACGTCTATAGAAATCTATCACTAAATTCCTTTATTTTTAATGAAGACATTTAAAATACTTGAAAAAAAAGCCTTCTATTTTAATGAGTTTTAAACAAAATTATCATCCTAATTACTACTCTCTTTTGTACTACAGTGCTTACAGAATCATTAATTTTCAGATTAACATCATTTCAATTTTTCTTACATTATTCTATTAAAACTTTCCAGTGAAACAGTAGAGAACATAGAGCAAAAGTTTTACGATATATGTACTTCAGTTTGGTAAATAAGTGTAAATACCAATCTAAGCCTCTTAACAATGTGTACAAGGTTAGTGTTCAAATCACTTCACTAGAGCAAATATTAATTTTACATGTAATAGGCAAATGCATGTGGAAGGCTAGGAAACAACTTATCACCAGTTATACTAAAATGTTTACCATCCATAAAAATATTGAAGCTTGTTACATATGCACAGTTGTTTGCTGCAATGTTTGGTAAATGATTTAAAGGGTATGCAGGACAAAAGCAACTCATGCACAGTTGGTTCTAGTTGCCTCAGGCAAAAGAGAAACTCAAATTTTCCTCATTCTAGATATGGCTGAGGCACAAATTCTAACCGTGTAATGAAAAGCACATGTGGCTCCCTTCCCAGGGAGATGTTGATTGCCAGAGCAGAATCTCCTACATAACAGAGTATTCTTAAAGGTGGAATGTGTACCATTAACCACTTACATTCAGAACTCCCATTAGATGCTGAAAAGCAGTTCCATTTTCAAGAGAATACTCAAGCAAATAACCAACAGCCAATGCAGTCATTAGGTGGGATAAGCAGGCAATAAGGATTCCTAACAGTGGAATCCATATCAGTGCAAAGAAACTTCTAAATGTTGCTTATGCCAGCTGCTCCCCTGCAGGCAATAGGAGATTCAGGCATTTCTCATTCCAACTAGTTTCTCATAACAGTTGCTGTCATATAGACCCTTCACTTGTCAAGAAAAATGACACCAACATATTGGAAGTTTGCAGCATTTGCCTATGTCTAATCAGCTCTCTTAATTTGTGCAGGTCCCTAAAATGGATGTAAAAGCTGGTTATGATGTTTACAGCCAAAAGGCAAAAGATCTTAAATCAACTGAACAAACTGCCTGATGTTCCACAAGTGTTTTAGAAAATAGTGAGATAGAAAAGATGCAGACAGAACTCTTCTTTTGGATGGTGATGTTGATTTTAAAATTGTAGACAACTGGTTCTAGTAGTAGTCTTCGTAGTTCTTAGGGTTGAGGCAATAAAGGATGGCACCCCCAAAGGAAAATATAGTTGCCCCCCAGGCCAGGCCATAACCCCAATTGAACTCATGGTAAATTTTCAAGGTCACAGTTTCAATGAACTTGATTGGGTAAAGGACCAGGCTGCAAACCTGCAAAACAACTGGAAGAAAAGCAAATCAAAATTAGAACAATGTCATTTACAGGAAATAAGATGAAATACAAACATACATATATGGAGATATTTTTTCATCATAAAATCCAAATCATTACTTATATGATTTACTTAGAAATATTAGTATTTTCCCATTTACATTATTTTACAATATACTAAGAACTATTCTTTTTTTACATTGTAATTTATTTTATTTTATTTATTTTTTAAAAATTTTTTATTAGTGAGGGGCTGGAGCAATAGCACAGCGGGTAGGGCATTTGCCTTGCACGTAGCCGACCCGGGTTCGATTCCCAGAATCCCACATGGTCCCCTGAGCATCTCCAGGGGTGATTCCTGAGTGCAGAGCCAGTAGTAACCCCTGTGCATTGCCGGGTGTGACCCAAAAAGCAAAAAAAAAAAATTATTAGTGAAACACCATGAGGTACAGTTGTAGACTCACAAATTTTTGTGCTTGGGTTTCAGTTATACAATGATCGAGTACCCATCCCTCCACAGTGCCCATTCTCCACCACCAATGATCCCAGTATTCCTCCCACCCCCCCATCCTCCCACCCCCCCCCCCGCCTCTGTGGCAGGGTATTCCTTTTTGTTCTCTCTCTCCTTTTGGGTGCTGTGATTTGCAAAAGAGGCATTGAGTGGCAATCATATTTGGTCTATAGTCTACTTTCAGCACGCATCTCCCATCCTGGGAGGATCCTCCCAACACCCTTTACTTGGTGTTCCCTTCTCTATCTGAGCTGCCTTTTCCCCTAGCATGTGTGGCTGGCCTCCAAGCCATGGAGTGAACCTCTTGGTATTTATCTCGGCTATTCTTGGGAGTTAGTCTCCTATTTTGTTACTTTAGAATTATTCTTAATAATTGGCAAATTGTTGCAATAGTTTGATGAAATAATTAGAATGCAATAATTTATACAAGCTGACCAAGTAGAGATCCACACCTTACAAACACATGTATATTATAGCAAGAAATTCTTGTTAAGTTAAACTGCTCCACTACACTAAACCTATGAATTACTATACATTTACAGGTTAGTTACACCAATACTAGCTGAAACCTGTGTTATTTAAGTATATTCTTGTCATACTAAGACTTCAAATTCATTTATCTTAAGAAACTGAATCATGACATGCTTTTGTTGCTATTCTTTCTCTAAACCAAAAGTTCCCAAACTTATTTGGTCAACTGCCCCCTTTTCAGAAGAAAAAAAAAAGAACACTCCCACCCCCACCCCAGAAGTCTACTTTTAGTGACAAAACAGAAAGTGTACTCCAATCGCACCCAAGTTTCTACTACCACCCCTCTGGATTGGTGGACGGTGGAGGAAGCAGCAGTATCAACCACTTTTTTAACAGGCATCTATCTTTCTTAATTCAGCCCGATAGTCTTGAAGTCCTACTTGATGACTTTGCTTATATTTTTCTGATCCAAACTTATTTTCATTCTTTTCCTCTCACATTCCTTGCACCTCATCCTTCCAAAGGATATCGAAAGGCATTGTTTTTAAGAAGCAGTGCCGATTTATACCCTTTAGTTTAGCTGTAGCAGATAACATCGGTTTTCATCAAAGAATTAAATTGAAGGCATAGGAGATAATGGAACCAGCTAACATACGCTTATGAAGGCTACTAACTTAGCTCTTCATTCTTGGTTCATTCTTAGTTCTTAGTCAGGATTAAAGGGGAGATGTGGTGAGTCACACCTAATGAAGTAAAACATTCAGAAAGGGGATTGCTATTTTTAATATCGAAATTTAAGGTGGCTATTTGTCCTGTGGGTATCTTTGTATGGGAAAAATGGGATTACACAAGAAATGATAGATTCCACTGAAAATAATATCTTTCCACTGAGTCAACAATTGCATAATTTCCACTTAGTTTAAATCAATCTAACTAGAATTTTATGGGACGTCTCTGCCTCATGATCAACTATGTAATAGCTTCCACCTTAAGAAGTAGGTGACTTTCTCACTGAGAATTAAGGATACAGTAGTATGTGACAGAAAGAGGCTGGAAAACTACCACATTTTTACTGGCCCATAACCAGACTTACTCACTTATTACAGTGACAGAGAGGAGTGGCTGCAACAGAAACTAAACTACTCCAAAAGTCACAAGTATCGCTATCTGGCTCTTCATTAAAAAGTTTGCTTATCCGTGATAAACGAACTAAGATTTTGGAGAAAATTATTATTTAACCCGAATCCTAAATTCCAAAAGTGCAACAACATTCTAAACAATGAAAATGTAAGAGTTAAAGAGATCAAGAATATAAACTTTGTAGTAAAAAAAGACTGTTTATTGGGACAGGCAAGACAGCCCAGTGGTCAGGGCACTTGCCTTGCAAGAAGCTGAGCCAGGGTTCTGTCCCTGGCACCCAATAAGGTCCTGTGAGCCCTGTCAGGAGTGGAGTGATCCATGATTGCTGAGCACTACTGAGTATGGCCCCAAAGCAGAAAGAAAGACACAGAGACAGAGAGGGGGAAGAGAGAGAGAGAGAGAGAGAGAGAGAGAGAGAGAGAGAGAGAGAGAGAGAGAGAGAAAATTAGTTTTTTTTCAAGACCAATGGGATGGATGGTGCATTTCATTAAACTAAAATTTTGTGCTTTAAGATCTAGTCTCATCTATTCTTGGTATAAGAGATCATTATTACTCATATGATTAATGTGTTTAGAAAAATCTACATAATAGTCATCTATCTCTGGCATAAAGCTGCTGAACTACACAACAAGCTGCAAGAGTACAAATGCTCAAAACTCATCACTTCTGTAAGGTTCGAAGGGTCAAGTGACCAGTCTGAAACTAGACAGAACTCCAGGTATTTTTTCCTTTGCCTCAGAACTCAACACTGCCTTGGGTCAGCTCGGATCTATCATTCTTCCATATTACTACTAAGAGAATAGATGAATAGTGCCATATAAATGTAGACTCTTGACATTCAAAATAGAAACCAGACCTTTTTCATAGATCAAAAACCTCAGAAAGTGTTAAGTGTTTTTAGGACAACTTGATGGCATATTGTAGAACCCACATCATCTACTCCAGCCAAGGAGTGCTAAATACATGTTAATTAAAAATGAAAAACCTTCAGCTGGTTCTGCACCTTTTTGGGGAAAGGATACTTTCCTGTCTTGAGCATCTTAGAACTAGTAAGTAGTCAATTAATACCAACCATGAACTATAGGGGGAAATGCTGCAAATTACTAGTTCTTTTTATGTTAAAAAGGTATTTCTTGGGAATGTGGCTCAGTAATAGAGCACATGCCTCACAGATGAAGCCCTGTGTTGGATTCCCAGTCCCTGATACTCTCCTCCTAAAGCAGGAAAAGCATTTCTCTTTCAGGTTTCTATAATCTGGTCACTAATCAAATCACCAGCCATCTTGCTGGGAGATAACTTAAACAGGAATGCAAATTAGGAATAGTAATTCATTTCCTCATTTACAAATGAATTCATTCACTGTTTAAAGCACACAGTTTAAGGCTTTGGTAATAAAAGTGCTACTTCCAGAGGTAGGTGAGCTATTACTAAATTTAGAACATGGCAGGAGTTGCTAAGGCAGCAACGTACAAGCGTGCAAGAGAACAAGCTAGGGATGCTGCTTTTGAGACTAAGGAAAAAAGTCTCTCTGATGGGGAAGTGTTTGAGCACAGACTTGAGACTTCTGGGAGGGTCAAGAGAGGGGAGAAGGATCACTCTGGTTTTGCGGCCGGGGCAGGTAGAAGTAATGCAAAAGTGGAGCTGTAATTGAGAGAGCAAGGAAGGGAGCCTTTGCAGAGTCAGAACCTATCTCTGCATGGCCCTGGGACCCATGGTGAAGGGTCTGGATAGAGTCAGTCTGATGGGCAATGGCTAGGAGAGTTTGGGAAATGCAACTCATCGGAATTTCCTTCTAAATGTTTTGCTGGGGAGTCAGCTAGTCCCTGATATGAAGTGTTTACCTTGAATGAGTTTACTATTCATTTCAAAGTTTTTTAATTTAGCAAAGATTTGGCCTCCGTGGCGTAAGTACAACACAAAGGATCATTTCCCTCTACTGGAAAATTGGAAATATAACTCCAGTAGATGTCACTGGGTCTCTACTCTCCTGAATAGCATTTGGAGCTATAACCTTGTGTTTCAGCCAGATGAAAATTACCCTAAAACAATTAAATGTCTCTATTAATTTACTTTCCTTGCAATCATGGAGAAAAATGCATGTAATGGTAAAACTACGAAAAAGACATAATCCTAGTTTTATAAATAATTTTCTCCACCTAGCTGCAAGTAAAATAATGCCTTGCCTTTTATAGATGAAACAAACTGGACACAAAAGCAAAATTAAAAACAGGGCAAAGGAGTTCAGAACGCATGCAAATACTTTTATACTTTTAATTCTGTGTAATCGGTGAAACATAACAGGCATGAGTCGTGGTTTATCTCTTTGCTTTACCTCGGAAGCATCATGCGTGAAGCAGTGTAACATTTTAGAATTTGAAGGGTATCTGAGGCTTATTGTTAAGAAGAGGCAATATAGCTACCAACCATTCAGTTGTGTAGATCGGTGCATAACAAGAACTCAGTGGCGTCATTCCTGTGTTAGTCCTAGGTTTCTTTTAGTGGGGAAGAGAGCCACACCCAGGAGTGCTCAGGAATTGTTCCTGATAGTGCTCGGAGGATCATGAGTTGCTGGAGCATAAATCCCAACCTTCTGCAAAGCTTGTGCTCAGCTTGTTAAGCTGTCATTCTGACCCAATTTCTAAGGTTCATTGTGGGATATTCTCCCCTGTTCTCAATATCAAAATTGAAAAAAAATTAAATATTTGAACACTCAAACATTTTATTTTAAGGGGGTATTTCAATATTTCAATAAACATTCAGGCCCCCAGTCTTTGGTGTAAGGGGTAAGCCATTGCCCTTGGGTGTTTCATACTCAATAGTGGGGAAAGACACAGATAGTTGAATGTGTTCAGCAGTAGTAATAGAGGCATGCTCATAGTTCATCCCAC